CCTCCTTAACATGCACATTGCTTGTATGTTCCATGAAGACTTGACCAAAGTCCCCATAGTCACATCAAATCAAATCAGGATCAACACACAGTGGTTGAAACCACGACAATCGAAGCTATCCTTGGAGGCACTATGTTGTCATGGAAATCTGTCTGAATGAGAAATCATCCATGTCAAGTGTTTACTAGCAGAAAATTTGCCACACTACCAAAACTGTGCATGTACATCCACACAGGGCATGTACAATGTGCCCCTATCCCCAGGCCTTGGGCATCATACATGTACATTTAAAGTTTGAGATCTCAAGGTGCAATTTTTCTTCAACTTTCAGGGATACTTTTGATGGCAACACAACCTTTCAATACTGGCTGTCTTAAAGTGAAAAGTTCAGATTAAAAAACTGATGAACACCAATCTCATCTGACATCAATTTTACAAACCTGGGGAAAATCCATCCACCACATGAAGTTTCAGTGTTAATGACATCCCCAATGTCATCCATTCTATAGATGCATCCAAGAAGATACGAGTACATACACATATGCACCCACACATTCCTTTGAACTCTATTCAAGTGGACCTTGACCAGTTGCAGATGGGGGGTCAAGGGACAATAAGGTTCCAATTTTTGTTTTGAAAAATAATGAAAAGGTGATTTTTGTCCACTACATGTATGTTATTTCCCTACCTTCCAAAGTTGTGTAAAATCCCCCCCCGCCTCACCCTCAGAGAGGCAATGAAAGGGTTACGTAAAGAAATCCCCCACCGCCATAAACCCCACAAGCCCCCAAAATTTGGTTCAGGATCTGCCCTTAGCAGGGATGTAACTAGTCTATCAGTCATCCATCAGTCTGTGCAGAGGAAGTGTCTTGCAGCTGTAGATACATGTACCATTCTAAACCATGGTCTTCCCCAGCTTTACAGATTACTGCAGAGAAATCCTATTAGAAATCATGCATCTGAATATCCCTAGACAGGCAAAAGTAGGGCAGGCAGTAATGGACGATCCTTCATCTCTTACTGTGCTACGTTATTAACAGCTTGAGAAATTGTGACAAATACATATATGGACCATGTATATTTTGATGTCAGGGTAAGCTTCTCCACCATGGCATATTGGGTGATATTTATGAGGAGGAATCCAGGGGAGTGTGCATTTTTTTGAGGCGACATTGACAAGAAATGAACTCTGGTTTGTACATACATGTAGGTTCAAAATTTTAAACCAGGGGAGGGCTTCTTCTCAGTGCTTCTTCAGATGGCTAACTACATGTAGTCTTGGTGTCATGACTAATTTTGCGATACAAATCATCACCAGACAAATCTGTATCACAGGAAGCGGCTGGTATACCAGTACAAGTACCTCAAAAAGGGCGTTACCACAGTGAATTGCATTATACACCACACACTGCATGCATATCGGGTCGCAACTATGTACGTACATGTACACGCAGAATCAGTGTTTGATTTCTCCTGTATTACAGTGCATTTTGCAACCCAATATTGACTAAATGCTATGCACTTTCGAAAATAAATCACTCTTTCTGCGATGCAAAATGCACAGGGTTTTTAATTGCAACAACGATTTGATACACATACATTGGGGCACATTCAGTGTTCGATTTCCTTAAAATATCTGCATTACAAAAACTGCTATAAAATAATTTGTTTGTATAGCATTGTTTGTATAGCAATTGCCTAATTTTGTGTAGCAGGTTTTTTACAAGATAACTGCATGAAACGCTAAATATCTATATCAACAGAAAATAATACATGTAAAACAGTCTTCAACAATGGTCTTTCAAATCATTTTCAGAGTAAAAAATTTATGTCCTAAAATTACCAGGGATGGCAGTGGTTTCTTAGGCTAGGGTTGGAAATTGTTTTTACAGTGGGCAAAGTAGGTGTAAAATACCTTAAAAAATATAAGTAAAACACCTAGAAATAGTTCCAGATGCACTTCTTAATTAGCTCACTAAAAGTACTACTTCAGGAGAAAACTAGCAATTTTTCTCAAACACTACAAAATTTTGACAGATGAAAAATATGATGAAAATTCTTCTTTTTTTCTAAAATTGTCCTCATTAAAACAATCTATAGATTGCAGATTACTGTGCAGAGTAATTGGCATACATAGTTAATTTTTCTGTATGATGCTTCAGAGGATAGTTTTGTGTACAAAGTGTTTACAAAAGACAGGTGACGAAAAGCATCCCTGGGGGCACCTGCATGAGTGTGTTTTACAGAAGAAACGACAGAGTTCACTCTAACATGCTGCCTTCTGTTGATTATAAAATTGATAAGTCAAACCCATGAAACAAGTTTCGGATTTACATTCCAGTTATTTAGTTTTCAAACCAGAATGTGCAGTTGGATGAGTTAACCCTCAAAGAGACAGGTTATTTTGGTCTATGTCACCACCAGAAGGGGGTGGAATCCACCCTGCCCCAAACTTGGTGGTGCCACACTCAATTTTGTTGAAACTTGGCATGCATGTAACAACACTCCTTGTCATTATAAATGTGAAATTGAACTCAATGAGACATATAGTTTTGTAGTTACATTCATTTGAAATTCAAGGCTACTTGCATGCCAGCTCATGTATTGAGAATCACAGTGGAAAAAGAATACATTTTTGGCTGACCTGTCTTGGAAAAATGCACGCTGCACGAGAACAGTATGTAAGACTTTCACAAAACTGGCGTCAAAATGGCAGCAGGAGTTACTCTAAAAAATCCTAAAGGCTCAGCACCTGAAAAAAAATGCATTGCGGTGATAGCGATATCGGAAATCATGTCGGGCGGGGCAGAAGTATGGGCCACTATGCATAAATCACTCATTTCCTCAAATGTTCCTTTTGGAAGTGCACCTGCTATCAACTATTTTCCGCAATTCCGGCACTGACTTGCTATCAGTGGATGCTTAGAACAGTGTTTAAAGGGAACCATTAATTGGTCAGCTATGAGGGCCTCAGAGGCAATTAAATCTTGTCCCATTGCCGCACATGAATTAACAGTAGTGTTGTGACCTCTTGGACGTTACATACCAGTACATGAAACTCACACATTATTTTCAGCTGTGCATGGAAATCAAATTTATTAAACTTGTTATAAATGAGTTTACATAACAGTACATTACTTATTTCATCTGCCAGAACAAAACTTTTCTTGGGTTTATACCTGTAATGGTCTGCATGTACCAAGAGGTACCTTGCTAAGCGCTTCTACAATTATTCAATCAAAAAAAGGCTGTCAATTTTATTTTCATATCATTTTTTTCCCTTTATTTTATGTTTCAGGTTTTTCTGAGCTTCTTTACATTTCTTGCATGTTTATGTTGGAAATAGTCTTTTGGTCTCATGTAAAGTTGAATTCTGAAAAGATCCATGGCTTCTTGATGGTGAACTCTTTGACTATCTTTGTGGGGATGAGCATGCTTTCACAAAAGCCAAAGTAAACTGAAATCACCTCAGCTAATGACACTTGCTCTAAGTTGTCCACAGTATTCAGTGAGTACGTCCAAGGTGGTGCTCATCAAGCGTTCTCAAAGGCATTCCCTGAGGCACTTGAAAACATGACACGACCAGGATTATCAGTTGGATCTTCTCTGCATACTCTCTCACTTTATAAGGACAGTAGACTAGGATTAGATGGATTGTGCAGTGGTAACCCAAGTAACCCAAACCAGTTAATGGTCTTGCTCGTATGCCCCAGCAATGCTCAAAATGGCACATACACTATATTCTCTCTAGTCTCTACTTATACTTTCAAGGGACATCATCACATTGCCTGTAAGAGTGACTGCATGAACCGTGCAAATCTGCTGCGAATCCTTCCAAAGCTTAACTGGTGAACTTAATAATCTAGAAGGATTAAGGTTAAAAATGACGAACAAAACTTCGCATTTGCCACAGCTAAAAAGTGCTCACTTGGTACAGTCATTAAAAATGGAAATAAATGAGATTTTCTTTTAAAACAGACTTCTAAAATGGTTTTGATCACTATTTTGATTGATGCTACACATTCCTGATGAAACCCATCACATTATTTTCCTCAGATGCAATACATCACTTGGTGATTCAGTGACACATATATACATGTACTCGTACATGTAATATACATGTACATGTACATGTATAGACAAGAGAATGAAAGTGGTGCTATATTGTCACTATATTTAATCAATACATTATCAGCTACTCCCCTGAGTGTTGAGAGTTGAGAGAGAGCAACTCAAGTGCTCAGAGGTACTAGTAGCTCTCCCACAACAACAAAGTGATTGGCACACACAAGGCAAATGGTCTACATTTTTGGGTTGTGTTAGTTGAATGAGTGACACTAAATGACAGTGTTGTTGAGCTTCATTTACAACCATGCTCTTGCATACATGTTTCTAAAGCAATTTCCATCATGTTTAAGAAAAAGAGCAATGTTATATGCGCAGCAATCGAGGGGAAACTGTGTTTGGCCACCAATAACAGAGCAGGTCCTCTCCGTTTGAAACAATATTCGGTACAATGATAAAATACAACTGACCAGAGCAAATACATGTACTCGTAGGAGGCCTTAAATAGGCATTTTTTAGGACTGAAGTAGGAGTGTTTTTAATATTACCAAAAGAAAATTGTTTATCTCAAGGCTCTGAAAATCAGGGTCACAAGAGTTGAGGGTTTCAACACAGGGAGCTCTATCAAAAGATATCAATGCAGACAAAAGACAGAGCATATCAATGCAATTACATTGTTTAAGAACTGCCGCAGGAACAATCTTTGTTAATATTGTTGTTTTATTTACTTTAGCTAAAATAAATAGATAAAAAAAAATCTTTCACACACAACCATTTAGGTCAGACCATGTAGATCTATGTTATTGTTTTTTTGCTCTTAGAACGATATGTACATGTCTAATGTCCCCAAATACATGTAACATGTCTGACAGCCTTCAACGACTACCGTTAGCCCTAGGCATCCATAACAGAATACAAATCAATGCCAAGCTAAGCAATGTGCACAGACAAATTGACAGACAACAACGGCAATTCAGACTCAGAATTGGAATAATTTTGTCTGGTTTATTTTCCTGGATGTTTTATTGTTTAGGCCACAGTGAAGACAAGCATCAATCTATTCAATTCCAGTGCAATCAATGGCTACAACACAGCCACTTACATATATGCATATGAACAACCTGCCAACAGATTGGACAAGCAGTGAGTAATGCCAAGACTGGTAATTTGGAGCAAAAAAGTGCAACATATTGCAAACATACATGTACAATGAAATATTCTTGGTTCAATGACATTTTGATGTATCAGGACCAGTCAAATACATGCAAACCACCATAAAATAAAGGATTTTATGAGTTTCTGTAGGCTCATTCTCCTAGTACAGTCTAGCGTCCACATTTATTTTGTTTGGAAGCTGTGTGTACTTTAGTCTCTCATGAATGCTAAATAGTCAAGAGTACATGTATATTAACCTTTCCTGGGGGAAGGGTTCATCTCCCCCATCTACACATAAATCAAAATAAAGAGAAAGCAAATTTGAGCCCCAAAATATGCCATTTCCATCAAAAGAGTCAAATGTCCTACCACCCTCTTTTCAAATACATTACAATATCTCCTACTCCATTACTGATTTCATATGTTACAGTGATACTTACTTAGATTTCTGACTTCCCAGAACCGTTGAGCATTCTGGCTTACATGACACTTGTTCATTGTTCATCCACTTCATCATATTGCACAAGCAGGTACCGATGTGTGATTAGGTAGGTTAAATGTTTGTCACTTTCATTAATATAAATTATGCCTTTCAAAAAAGATTGCCTACATAAGGCCTACATATACTCAGGACAATTGCTGGTTTCAACATACACAGTACCATTCATTCAAAAATTCTTGTGTTTCTGAGACACTTTAAATGCTGCTCTGCAAACTAATTGTACATTAAATGTACAGGTACTTATTGGCATACACGTACATGTACAGGACAACAGGTGTGGTCTATACGTACATTTTTTAAAAAAAGCAAACAACTTTGAGAAATATATCTCTTTTGAAAGAATGGTAGTGTTCTCCAACACATACATGTAAGAAAGACTTGGCACCCCTCTATGCTAGCTGCGATGTGCGCCATGCTTAGAATACACTTTTTGACTCTACAGTATACATGTACGTATACAATATGATTAATAATGACCACTTTTCTTGCGATTCTAACCTCAAGACTCCCCAATAATTTTTGGCCTACCTGTCCTCAAGTTTGCAACACAAGGCAACCCCATGCTTAAATCGCCACACATGTACATGTACATCACCCCACATGGCAACAAATTTAGTCTGGCCTGGTAATTTGATTATATAGTTGTATTAGTGTGATTGCCTGGTAACCAGATGTACACTTGATCCGTGCAATGTTCGCGTGTGTAGGCTACGTGTGTACATATGTGTATGTATTATGTTTGATGTGCTGTGGCAGAATCATGATATAGTAGTGAGCGTCAGCTACGCATGAGCAGGCCTACAGTCCACAGGGTCATCCTTCCTGATCTTTGTTCACCACAAAGCCAAGTCACACTAATACTAGTCATGATAGAGATGAAGATGAAGATTGTGTTTCATTGTGTTTCACAGTCAGGTTCTTTTCATTATGTATGATTAAACCTTTGATAAAACCCTCAACATCCAGTCTCAAGGCTTACTAATAAGAGCTTTTGTTCAAGTTATTTTTGCTGATGACATTATTTAGCATTCTTCTACCCTGGACAAGACTTGCTCATGGTATGTTTTCCACTGAAATGAAAAACGTTATTTTTAAAATACGTCGGTAAGCAGCACACTAGTGAACTTTCCTTCGCTGGCCACAACGGCGTCTGTCTGGGTGGCCTGATTACTGATGATTCAATATCCCAGAATAACCAGGCTTACTTGAAACAAAAAGAAACACTTGCAAATTTAATACGCCTGCTTCTCAGTGTTCAGAGCTCGTGCTTGCAGACTTGTTGAGTACATACACTGTACATGTTCGTGGTCTGTTTTCGGTGTGCATGTTGTACGCATCATGGCAAAACAAAATACTCTAATTGCCTTTGGATTTGTTCCCCCTGGACCCCCCAAGGACCAACAGTGCCTCCTGAGCCAAAAGAGCAAGGAGATGACCAAACAAGACGCAAACACAGAGATTCATTTTGTGATAGAGCCAAAAGTACTCGTGGTTAGAGCATCGATCTAACAAAGGTAAGGGTTCATCATACAGGCCTACTGTAATTTCATGTTCTAAATTACCCCCACCGGACAGCAGTGGCGCAAGGCTGGGCCGTCGGTTTGCGTTCCACGTCTCCTCACTGATTTGGGACTTGGATTAGTTGTTAAATACTTGTCGGTTTACAATAACTAACATGAGAAACATCTTGCTTTTGACACATTTCAGCCACCCGGATCCTTTTTACAATAGGTTCTGTCTTCAACAATATTTGGAAGTGAAGAAAATTGAGGAATGGATGTCTGAATGGATGAACAAAAAAAGAAACACTTTCTTTTTCAAACAAGTGAGGGATAAAGTCGATTTTAATACTTTTACAACCCAGATCCCTTGGAACATGTCTTTCTCAATCAATAATTGAAAATACATGAAACTGTGGAATGCGGATACATGTACTCACTGGTACTGATCTTTTAACTGAATTTCTTTTTAGTAATTCTGTGCTAAATAAATTGAAGTCTTCTTAAAATCTTTAGCTCAAAAAAGCCTAGGGAAAATGAGCTCGCATTGGTCACAAACCCAGCACCAACCTTTACTTTTCAAAGTTGGAGAACACTGGGTACATATGTACATTACATGTATCTGTCCTGAACCTCTTAGCTCAATAGGGTGTGGTGACTTGCCAAAATGCACACATTGTCAATGGATACATACAAGTATGTACCAGTAGGCCTACTATGTACATGTACTTCAAGTTTCAGAAAGCACACACGTATGATGCCATTGCTGTGTGCATAATATCCACACCCCAACCCTTTGTTGTTGGAGAGCAACTTTATCATACTTTTGCCATTTTGTGACTAAAGTTTTGAGTGCCGATGATGCAACGACAGTATTATGGGCTGAGAATAAATTTGGAATCTACATTGTTGAATTGTTTAATTGCACGCAGTTATTAAAAAAGTGACATTTGAAATTCTCTGTCATCCATCAGTATACAAATCTGGTACCAGCACATAAAATATAAACATCTCAACAAGATGGCAAAATGTCAAGATTACGATTAACCTTAATTACAAGCGAGTGAAAAAGAATTGACATAAAAACAGCTATACAACTGAGGACAAGTAGTTCTAGTTGCAACATTTTGTTAGGCAGATCATCTTCATATTGTATAATTGAGGAATACAGGCTGCTCGTTTGAGCACATACATGTACATGTTACCCCGTACATGTACAAAATGCTGGTAATTACTAGCAAATGACCAAAGCAGACCTCTTTCAAGCTTGATTATGTCACAGATATGGCAAGACTTGTGCATTCCACTTTTATAAACACCCTGAGTTTTTGACAGTGAACAACAGATTACATGCAGTTCCCTATTGCACAATTAAAGAAGCCAGTTTTCCAGACTGAAAAGCTTAACTGAGTTACCATTCAAACTAAAAGACAATCCACTTACATTTGTTATTGATGAAAACATACCTGTTGGTCTTACCCTGACCTGAGCTCTGTTCAATCTAATGTTACAGTACACCATTTGATCACTGAAATACCATATTTGCTTCTCCTTGTCCCTGAACACCAACTTGACAAACGTTCAGAGGTACCAGTACATGTAAACTGCACTTGACAGAATCAATTTGTATGACAAGCCATTTCTACACGAAAGAGAGTGGTCGTCAATACTGCCCGGCAGAAAAGATGAGCTGATAGAAACTACACATGTACCGGTATTAGGAGAAATGGCCCTGCTTCCTGTGCACAGTACGGCAATGCTTGTCCGTGCACATCACATACACATCATAGCATACATGTACATGTACCGGTACATGCTGGCTGAGTATACCCTTAGGAGAATCAATCCAAAATGAACCCACAGAGAGTAATTTCAATCAGTAGCTTATGGCTCCTCAATAATGAATGTTTCAACCACTGCACACTTAGGGAAATGGAAACTTAAATGTTTTGGATTTCTGAGAGCTTGTGAGAAAAATACACTTTGTGATTTGAATCTACTGGTACACACTCTGTGTTCTAACTTCCATCATAGTGGAATTTAAGCTTTCTGTTGACTGGGGAACTCTAAACACATTATACTGTAAATACACTGATTGGTAAAACCTGATTTTTTTTTTGAACAAATATAGAATATTTTTTTATAATTACATGTATATAAAATCTAGATTAGATCTATTGTAGGATCCATAAACTCTTAACACAGTCGAAATACATGTAAGGGACTTACTCAAGCTTATATTGAACATGTACTATAATATGTGCATACACAGTCATACGTGTACTTTATCACTATATAATGGCATTGTGATAGAGGCACATGTACACATGTATGCTTTTCAAATCTAAGGCAAGCTTCACAAAAGTCTATTTTGTGTAAGGCAAGTTTTTTCAAATATTCACAGCACTTTATTTTTTTAATATAAGGATATTGCACTATCCGACATGTACTGTCAATTCAATTATACATGTACATGTATGCTGTGTAATTATTTCACATCAAGAATACTTAAGTGCATGTATGTATGCATGCATATATCATGCATTCCAATTAAATGAATGTTTTTCACATTATTTGCAAAGCGATTTTTTTCTTAATAACTGTCCACATTACATTCTTAATCACATCATGCATGTATGATGAGCTATGCATTAAAATCCTGAGCCACTAATGGCATTTGGGTACATTTTGATTAGGGCGCTCAGGGGCCCTCATTTTCTGAGAGGGCACACTGTGATGTACAAATTGAAAACAAAAAATTTATATTGTACCTTCAATTTGCATAAAAACGCAACAAAAAAAACCAAATACTGAAATGTCCACATTTGTATTATGTATCAATTGGCAAATGATACAAGGACAAACAAATTTACAAACATGTCACATGTATACATGTAACAGTAGTGTATTGTTTTATATCAAGGTGTCCCTTTTAAGCTCTATGGTTATCTCTTTCTTCTTTGGCCTCAGAGGGTTGATTGGTAAAAAATTCAAATTCTCAGAAGAAAAAAATTGAAAAAAAAAGGCTATATAAAACGATGCAAAGAGTTCAATATGTGATTGTCTTGTTTTGAATTAATTTATTTACATGAGTTTTAAAGTAAATCACTCTTATTGAACTTTTGTATAAGTTTTGCAGATAAAGTTGCAAATGCACAAGTAGTAATCTGCTGGCAATACGGGACATGAAAATGTATTTTACCTGCTTTGTTCCCACAAAATGAGGGTATCGTCTTCTTTCATTTCTTTGATTCTTAATTTGGTCAGATGTTCTGGACAGTGTGGGTGGAATAAAAACAGGATTTTTGAGTCAAGGGCCAAATTTAAGGTACTCAGTTGGCGATGAGAGCCTCAAACAAAAAGAGGAACTTAATTCATAAATGTCAGTGTTGGCTTTAGTGTAAAAATTAACAATAAACTGCCAATGCTTAAAGGTAATACTTAAATCTCACAGAATATCACTGCAGTATTAAAAGCAAATACCTTTGTACCATGGACAAATTTCTACATGCGAAGAGATACATTGTAGCATTCCAAGCCACAATGCAAGTTGAATACAAATTTACTGTGTGTATTTGGGAGACTGTGCAATGCTGAGTGTGATTGTAATCTTTGGTGTACATGTGTGTAAATCGAGGAAAGAAATCTTTTTGCACCAACCAGTTGAGGGCAATGCTTTATAGTGAGCAAGGATAATCATTTTGTTCTCCCCATTTTAGAAACTTTGAAGCCTGCAACATGTATGTCATATTTTAATGTAAACCCCTTTGAAATGTGGGCCTTATAACAAAAGACCATACTTGGAACAAAAGACCGAGCTGTTGGGAATTGCCAACATTTTTTCAGTTGTCAATAGCAGAGGAGATCTGTCATTGTTTGGAAAGATTATACCACTGTTTGTGACATTCAATGCAAGCGGATTACGACAAAAGCGTCCAGCAAATATGATTTTTGAAGAATTTTGAAAACGGAAAATCTTGAAATTCCCCAGTTTTACATCATGCAACGTTAAATTACACCCGGCAGCAAGTGGTTAATCTACCGGTACAACAACAAGCTGCATGGTGATAATGTCTGCACCATTTTGACAAGTCCAAAGTGCACAGGGAATTAGACTCACTTTACAGCTCTATCAATTCATGCAGTGTGTTTTCTATTGTAAGTCAACGACCTCTCAATCTCAATTTCATAACAAATGTCATTAAATTTTCAATATGTAGACATTTTACAGTGGTTGGGTATCATGATGCAAGTATTTACAGTGAAAATGCATGCTGCACAAACATGTCCAAGGTACGTTGGTAAATACAGTGTACATGTATGTGTGCATCATGGACACTCAGTTTAGTTTGGGCTTCAATGTACATGTATGCGTACATGTTCGGTATCTTTGAGTCATAGTGTATTACAGTGTTTTCAGTTCAGTGGTCTGGGTTAAATGTATGTACGTGTCCAATGTTCTGAGTAAATGCTTTGGTACAGGTATACACTCTGGGTTCATCTACACATGTACATACACGTACATGTAGAAGGAACTCCCAACATGCCTATATGGTAGTCCCTTGAACAAGGTGCGGCATCAAGCAATTAACTTTTATCCACTGGCAGTTTGTAACAATTGCGCACTCTCCGTCCGTCAGAAATGAGAATCTGACAACTTTAAAGTTACATGTACATTCAGCATAATTCATGCAAAGCTTTGAGTCTTCTTTGAATCAAATGGACTGAACTCAAGGTAAGACATGCTGACTTGCATCGCTGTAATTGGTGTGGCAATTACATTGGCAACAAGGATTTCCAGTTGCCATGGAAATGGTGCTTGATGATACTACTTGTATATTCTCGCCACTTTCATCTTCCTCCCCAGCTACTTCCAATTTGGATTTCCTCGTAGAGCCCTTTCGTTTGCCTGTAGCCTTACGTCGAATTTTACTGGTTCCATCGTTGGGATTGCAACTGCTGTCAAAGGAGACTTTCTTTCCCAGGGGTTTTTTCTTTTTTTGCATGTTGTCATTCTGAGGTAGAGCAGTGTTGAGTACATTTAGCTTTATGTTCACGCTGTCACATTCCTGAATCTCATAACCAGCCTCTAGCCCTGATTGGCTATTAAATGCATTGCCGTTGTTGTTATTGGCTGAATAATGTGGATTCACGCCTGACTGAGTTTCCTGTGATGTTGATGGCAGCATGTTATTTTGTTTATTTGATGCAGCCTCTGAAGGTACATGTACTTCAGTTTGTGGGTCATTGGAAGATTGTCCCTTATGGTAAGACACTGGCCCGACAATCCCATCTTGTAGGGTTAACCGAATTGCATTTTGCAAGGAATAGGAAGCACGCTTATTGGGAGATGTCTCCCCTGGTGAACTATTCTGTTGATTCTTGAGAGTTGACACAAGTTTCTTGGCAGTTTTGCGCTCCCTTGTCCCAATGGCGCTGATCACTATCGCAATGAAAGACAGACCGAAAATGTACCAGACGACAACAGCAAGGTCATAGACAATCTCCAGCACTTCAGGAGCTTGTTGTTTGGGGTCTACCGTGGCAACAAAATCCCCAAATCCAATGGTTGTCAGGGTGATAAAGCAGTAATAATGGGCAATCCTGTAACTCCAATTTTCCAATATGGTGAAGATTCCGGCAGGGGCAAGCACTAGAAGGCCGTAAGTGAAAGACGCCACCACCAACCACACAATGAAACGACGCAGTTTCCGTTTGGTCACAGAGCAGTAATCACAGAGCATGCAATCTAGGCGCTCTGTCAGGCCCCAAAATGACTCCCGATAGAATTGGCCCACGATAGACAGCAACCATCCTGTAAACGGTATGCCAAAGATGGCATAGAGGATACAGAAGTCCCTCCCGCCTTGGGTAGTGGGTGCACGTCGACCGTAGCCTGATGAGGAGCGATTGATTTGATCAAAGGACAAGAGAAAAGGGAAAGACAGAAAACAACATGTCAGTAAGAAGGATGTGCAACGTACATCGTAGGTACAGTACAGCATGCAGATCAAAGTACACACATTAACATTCAACATAAAGAAACACGTCTGAAACCAGATGGATTTATCAGTTAGCATTCTCAGTCTCCGAATAACCATTGCCTGATATCTGGAGACATTCTGTTAGCAGCAGAATCAAGATGCAGATCCCTGTTGGATTCTTTGCATGAATGTAGAGGGCCATTTGTTATCTACTGTAAAGGTGATAATATATCCCACTGGGCCTACAAAGATACACACTCTTGTTTGCATGCATGCCTATATCCACAGAAGGCAAGGTACATGTGCCTGTACCCATCAGGCCTTCAGACACTTCACACTGACATCACCGCACATCACCCAAGCCTCCATGGTGAACAGTAAGAGAGTACTTTTTATTTACAAAAGGATCTCCGAACTCTGGGAATGCACATGCATGACACTAACTCACAGGATCAATTGCATCCAAGCTATTTAGCTATTAAGCTCTTTAGCAGCTGCAGATCCGAAGGCAGGAAGAGGATGAAAGGCCTTGCCATAAAGGGAATCCCCCCAGTAACCCATTATGCACTAAGGAGACCACTTAGGGGTTGACAGGTTAATTGATTGCCATACATTATACATGTAGAAAGCCTTAGCTTCAAGGTCATAGCCCACTTTTTCTGATATTCAACAACAGTAAAAAGAAATCGTTGCAGTTGTCCAAACAATCATGCTTCCAAGCAGTGTCTCATCTATTGGTACATGTACATGTACATGAAGTCACCTATCCACCTGTCCCGATGACAGGCAAAATCAGTTTTGGACAGGCACATTTTTGCTAGTTCAAAATATACAAATCTGCATTGCCTCAACAAGCATATAAGATGTCGGTTTCAATACATTCTGGGGGAGTGGGCACCAATAAATTGATCACATAAACAGTCTCTATTTCCGGTCTTCCGACAAGAACCATTACTACTATGACCTACAATACATCTGCTCCAAGTGTTTTTAAATGTGACAATTCTTTGGTACGAACTCACTACATCAGCGTGCAAGTTTATGCGCGTTTGAGGCAAGTATGGGCAACGAATCTATTCTGGAATGCACCTGCAACAACCTGGTTGGAAAACTTTGTGCAATCCTTCTTTCTTTTGCCGGCAAGGGTGCACTTCAACTCAGGGTGGATAAAGTCAAAACTTAAAAGCTTCCAGACAACATCAAGACCAATGTACTTGTACCAACTTGGAAGTTCATACGCCAAGTCTTTCTCAAGAAAACCAGTTCAAATTGCTAAATAACCAAAATGACTTTGACCTTTGACATATACATGTACTGTATGGGAAGACCAACCAACAGACCCATACAAAGTTGATATGTTAAATACCAGCAGTATTTCTCAAGTTACAGTGTGAAAACTGTTTACAGACACACAGATGGGCACACATCCATGTACCCGTACATGTATGTTGTACTTGTTCTGTACTTGTGGGACAAACATACAATATTTCACCTACCGGTATTTTGGGGGACTGAAAATGTTATGGGAACAGAGAAAATTCCCCACAACTCAGTCCTAACTGGCCTAACAAAAGAAACTGTAACGGTTCCCTGAACCTGATGAAGGCCTACCCACAAATAATTGATGGACAGCACATGTGTAAATGATCCATGGCATGTACTGGTATGTACATGCATGAGCTGTAGGACCCAAACATTCTTTCATAGTCTCTACAACTTGATCCTGACTTTGTGAGCCAACTGTCCCCTGCATGCTGTGAAGGAAGGGTATTTCCTTTGTTCTTGTGTACAAAACTCCCACACAACACGGACAAAATTTCAAATCATTGCCATTTCAACCAAATTCAGTTTCCTGGGTTGAAATTTCGACAGTATGTCCCTTATGTCCCAGTATGTGAAATATCTATTTCGTGAAATTCTTCTGGGGTACCACTTTAGTAGCCCACAAGGATCCAAACTGGCCTTGTGGGGTACTTTCCATTGTTCCGGTACCCCACAAGGCACTATGTACAAGCGCACAGTGGGACAGCACAAATGCAGTGCAGCTCTTGGGCTTGGCTGGCACTGAGTGCACAAGGAGCAAATTACCCATACAGACGCGGCCCCTATACAAACGCGGCCCCTACCAGGTACGCACACACAGCCTGGTACATGTATGCACCATATCCCATAACACTTTCTTTGGTCTCAACCTTGGCAACAGAGAATAATGCACACTTTGAAAAAGGAACAACTTGGAAAACAGAAAAACCCACAAAATATACCGGTATGTCATACAGAACCACTGTAAAATCAGCACCTTGTTATGAATTGATCTGCATGCAGCTGTTATTAGTAGTCACCCTGTACGCTCACTGGGCCATGACATCACTTTTCTGCATGCAATGCAGATACCCACCTGTATCTGGAGGTCAATGTAATTATTCATCTTCAGAGGTATTCATGTGTATCCCTTCCACACAAATTTTATACTTCTACACTTGACAAATGATTTGCATACACACAGTACCGGCACATGTACGCCACTCAAGTTAATTAATACATTTCAAATTTACACAGAGCCAATGACTTCATTAGTCTAATGCATGTTGGTTGACTGCACTCAGTCTGAAAATTGAAACTATTGGAAACTTTTGTCTTCAAAGTGATTATGTATTTTACTGATGTGTACACTGACTATGTTACATGTACGAGTACATTGTACAACCATGGAACAATTTACAGAGGCATAAATGTACATGTACAACACTGATGATAGCTGTCATGTAAAGGAGTAAATTGAGATTCCTAAAGGAGACTTTGACAACCGTACACTGCGTTTTTCTGAAGTTGAAATTGTACAGAAATCTGCCTTGGGATACTAGAGTACATTGTATACATGTACATGTATGTGTACCCGGTATGTATGTGTACTACATGTACATACTGTAGGTACAGGTACATGTCCGCCATACAAGTTACAGTGGTTTCTACCTTGCAACATATTTCCTTTTAATGTCATCTGGATGATGTGCAGGCCATTGGAGATGTACAACCATTGCCATAGTTTTGCAAAAAAGATCCAGTCCAATCCCCGAACTAAGGCATTGTTTCTCCCTTCTAGGCTTGAAAGCGATGGTAGGAATTTGGAAACAGTAAAAAAATCACTACCATTAGGACTACAACAGACCGGTTCAAAAACAGCCCAATCCCTTTCTAATATTGACCTTTTCAAATCACAGTGTGGCTGGTACATCATTCTTTGTGATTTGTCCTTGAATATCTTTGTATTTTTTGTGTTCATTGTAAACATCATGCAGAGTCCACCAATAAATAAATAAATAAATGTATTTTTACCCATTTTTAAATGTTTTCTTTTGTAATTGTACAATTAAATGAAACAATATTGTAATTAATGTAATGAAATATTTGAGGTAATTATAGTAATGTTGTGATTATAAAATTACATTGATGTATGTTTTTATTTAATTTTTATTTTGTAAATTCAAATGTAATTCGGACTCTGAGAGGCGAAGTTTGAATTTTTTAAATAAACAATACAATATTAAACATGTACTGGTACTACACTTGGATTTCTTTGCTAACCATAGATTGATCCTGCCGGAGAACAGCAATACAACTGTGAGCATGCAGTATGTCATTACATGTGTGTAAATTGTATAAAACTGCGCGAACTTACCGGTACACTTGTATGATCTGTGTATGCTAAGCAGCAACATGCATCGGCGTGCGTATTTTGACTTAAAAGGTTTACATGACAACATCACAACCAATAGGGCTTACAGTACAATCCACAGAATACGGACATCTACGCACATGTGTCGGTACCACACACACGTGTCGGTACCTGTAATCAAGGCACACTTAATGCATATTTTTAACAACTGCCGATACCATGAAATGAGACCTCACCCTTTTTTCATATATTGATCATTTAGTATACCAGTAGATGTCAATCAATGCCCACTCCATCTGATGAACATCTGTAAACATGTAGATAGACTTACATGTATACATGTAAAATGAACATTTCAAGTTATTCTTCAAAGTTTTATCCCTCATTTAATGCAAGATATTGCTGTTTCTAATCTTGTATTCTGTCCATCCACATTTTTTCCACTTGTTGTGCTACCTTTTCCTTAGTTATACATGTATAGGCTTTTGTAAATGAAAATTTTTTGAATCACTACTGTCTAAAAGTACTTCATAGTATTTTTAGTTGATGTAAATGTGTTTTGATACTCCCATCCACTGTTTTAACGGTATCAGTTTCGAAATTTGGCCCATGGGGCTATGGGCCACAATTTGAGACAAATAAAAAATCCAATGAAACAAAATGAAATTTACCTACAGTCCTGATTTAGAGCACACAGAAACAACTTAGAAAGATCACAAAACAAGACACACATCAAACAGTGAATTTATTTGACAACCTAGAACTTTACAATGACACTTGTCAAACAAAAAGAATTTTGTGAAGACTCACCTATGGTGGTGACCACGGTGCCAGAGAAGAAGAAGGAGCTACTAAAGTCCCAGTTGGACTTACTGGACACATTCGAGAGTGGATTGACGCCACTCTCCACGGCATTCATGATCCGTTCCACCAATTGCTCTAAGCTTTCCTCTGAAATGCACGAGAAATTAGACAGGATGGCCTCCTTGTAGGCCCTCAGGTCAATCTTCGTCTCCTCCTCTTGAGTAGATTCTAAGGCTGAGAAGACTAACGCTCCAATCACCAGGTACAAGATGAAGGCAGCGACCAGGATGAAAAGACTTTTCCAGTTCATCTTGGGAATGACACGAGTGTCTTTTATCAAAGTCACTGAGTATTCAAAAATACTCTCTGAAAATTAGTCAGTGTGCTTTGTCATTCACAACTCAAACCAGCAATAGCTTGCATGCATGTACCCTGTGTATCGTTTATATGGAACCCCTTACATGAACAAGTATTATGGCTGTGCAAATCTGGCCAATCCTTAAGTAGGTAAATGAAGGCTTAAAACCTGCACCCAGTGTTCATACTTTTAGCATCAGATAACATCAGGAACAGTCTGGTCACCTGGTGGGTGTATTCACAAGCTCTCACTGATGTCATGCATACTGACTGTAGCTAGCCTTCTCTTCTCTTCAACCTGGGTTAGGAGATAAGAGTGGGTTGAATCAATATTTCAAGTTTTTCTTAAAGAGATCAAATCTAATTAATACAATGTACACATACTAATGCACCGCTAATCTTTCATTCATAGATCCAAAGTTCTTCGCCATAAGTTATTGTAATCTGGTTTGGAACACAGAGTCAACAGCACTCCTGCATAGTACAGGTTTAACCAAGGAAGAAGGAAATGGTTCTACAAAGTGGCACCCATAAACGGATTTGTTTGCTATGCATGGATACAGTTGCTGAATTAATCCACTCTGAAGTTGATACAGCACAACATACCGACGGTATTCCAGACAAAATCACAAACTTTGACAACTTGCACATCTTAACTCAGTTGAGTACGCAGCAAAAGGTCACTGGAGAATGTACAGCCTGTGTAGTCCTGCTCAGGAAACTGTGAGCTGCATGTATACAGACACACATGTGGTCGCCTGTGCCAACGATCTGTTCCTGATACATGTAACTAGTGTCATCCCTTGGCAGGTTCACTCACTGCTAAGTGGATGGAATTACTGTGTTGACAGAGCAGTGACTGGACAGTTCAATGCAAAATACCCCTCCTGTCTCTCTGTGTCTTTGACACTGCTGTTTTGAGGCATGCTCAGAACTCCCGTAAGTGTGACTAGAAAAAACAGTCACGTGTTTTCAGTTAGAAATCCTTTTTTCTCTTGCTCCGTTTTAACCAATTTGTCGCTGCCTGCAGCTGTGCCCACAATCCTTTCTGTAACAAAAGCCTCGTTAGATATGACATTTCTTAGTCACCTACATGTACATGTAGATGAATGGATAATAAAGTGGACATCTGCTGTGGGGGGGGGGGAGTGCAGTACATCAAATGCCTCCAGGTATTCATCCTTACATCTACACACAGTAATAGTACAGATTGACATGTACAGAAACATTTCAGTTATATTGTGATGTCAAAAACAAGTGAGAATTGACAGAGTAGGAGAACAGTGCTTGTGCCACTGATTTCAAGGATTTCTTTCACATTTTACATGTATACCAAAAGCCTTTCCCAAATTAATTTACCCCTATTTCATTCAACTCTCACAAGTTTGTGACGTAGTACAACGTACGGTATCTTGACAGCAAGTAATCAAAACTGACACTTGGGAAATCATATAAAATTGGAAACTTCTTACTAGAAATTGCTCGTCAGTACATGTACATGTACCACAGTGTGTATGTACAAGATAATGAAAACTTGGTACCACATGCAGAACCCATCAAGAAAAGACACTCTAATGACAGGGTCACTCCAAAGAAATTTAATGGCTGTGCTACCAGCATCTTTACTGTTATTGATCTACTGTCAGTCTTGAATAACTGGCAGTCTTCAAATACAATTATTAGGTTAATGATGAAATGATGTTTCTCCTGGTAAGATAATGACTCCGTTGAGTCTCGTCAACCTTCACTATCATATTCTCCACTATTAGAATGCAAATAACACTGATGATAATGTGTACTTTAAAATGCACAGGACCAAATTGACTGAGGACCAAATTGACTGAGGACCAAGGCAGAAGATTGCTTGTTAAGAAGTAAACTTGTACAGAAAACCTTACAAGGGTCAAGAACACTCACAACTACCGCTACACACTCATTGTGTACATGTACATGTACACGATGAGTGTGTACCGGTACATGTACATGTACATGTACATGTATGTATGTGTAATTGACTTCAGGCAGCACTCGTTTGCTTGTTGAAAACTGACTCAGTCTCAATAGCTTCCTGTCGGTGGATCTACAAGAAACACAGATTATCACAGATGTCACTTCCCAACAATATTTCAGAGGTTTTTCTTCTTTTGTTTTCAATGCAAGTTTCAACTACATGTACCGAAAATACATTGTAATTGACTAACTCACTACTCCAGATTTCTCCTCCCCTGTATAATGACAAAGGAAAATGTTACAGCAACAGGGACAAGTACTTTAGTATCCCCAATTGGTTTTGGGTAAAGACTGTGGGGATGTTTCATTCAGAAAAAAACGTTTGGCCAATGTTTGTTTTTGGGGAGGGGGGTCTAATTTGGTTTATCCAGTTCTGTGGTTGGATATTAACTGACCAGTGAGATAGTTAAATCTTCACATTCTCACAGCACTACTGAGATTTGAATCTGTCGACTGGAAAAACCACAGACCTTTCATCTTATGACCATCTAATAAATGTATTTGGATGAAGAAAAATATGAACTTTATAACGTAAATGCGTGCACTTTCAAAATCATTATGTCCATACATGTACATCTACTTGAACAATCTTGAGTCTGGGATTTTTGGAATTGACTAAAAAGCATTTCTGCCCATAATAAATGTATACATAGAATGATCATCTTCAGGAAATTGTTTTCGGTTTCACTGCAAATACAAACAGTAAGGCCTCCTGGCTGACAAAACATCTTGAACAGTTCCAAATGAGTGCACAAAGCATATACTCTACAGTTCCGCATGAATGAATCCAGACAGAAGCAGGGGATTGACAAATGGCAGTTATGTGTACACACAGGTTTGGCTTTACACCATAATGACCCATGAGAATAATACCGGGTACATGTACAACCAACTGGCCTAATGAAGTAGAACTAAACTCATGTCCTTAGCTTCAGCATCTGATGGACGTGACGCTGGAGCAAGGTACATGTACATGTACCAGATCTCAGGCTCACATGTGCATTATCTTTGACCAGACCATTGGGATGTGTCATGGGTGAAACTATGGAAACCATGCAAACTCACAGCAAACTCAATTTGCTGTTTGTCAAGGTTAGAGGCTGTCATAGGTAGCATGCCATCTGTCTTGTTCTTCCTGAAGAAAATGGCCATGGTCCTATCACAATTTCTCTCTCTGGGAATGATGAACTCTGTGGTACTGGTTGGATAGCGGACATTGTTAGTTTAGCATGGCAGGATGACAGCGCATTGTTTGTATTAGGAAGGATCCCCAACGGGTTTGAAATTTAGAACTTGGAGAACAACAAATAATATTACCACATTTACATGTACATGTATGCAGTGCAAACTTAATTGCAGATTGGTCAAAGAGCTTCACAAAAAAAAACACCGTCATTAAACACAAATAAAAACACATTAAAACCAACTGGATAATTAAAAATAGGCAAAGTATTATCTGTAGTCAATATCATAACATAACTTTATTATTAGATTATTAGATGTATTTCAGAGGCACGTTTCTCCTGGAAACAAGTCCTGTTCTTGAAACATAACATTTACAGACATTACGTGTATGATGCTGACACAATGCACATGAAACTCTTATTCTGACCCTACCCCTCCAAAAACTGGAAAAAAGAATCTCTCATGTTTAACAGGGCAGACTTTATACAAATGCAACATGAGGGTTGTAATTTAGTTTATGAACAACTCAATAAAAATTGTAACCTACATTTTTGGTTCCTGGACAGTTGAAAGCAAAATTGATCCATCAGAAGTCTCTGTTAATGATTCAAATCCTGTCGACCAGCAAGGCAATTCTTGGGGTAAACAACCCACATCCATTAACACAGAAAACCAAACCAAGTCCAAATATTAATTTCAATGAAAAAAAGAGAGGAAAATGAACAATGGTTATCGTTATCTTTCAAACTTTGCAATTTGCTCTGAATTAGATGACTGTCTAATTCATCTGATTGATGAGGCACTCAAGTAAATTTTCTGCAGTGCCGCCTCAATCATCTCGCCTGGCAATGAAAATAAAAGACACAAGTTGGAATTGCCATCAGCCAAAAATTAAATACACACCATTATTAATGGAGTTACAACCACAAAGACAGGAAGTTGTCTTTCATGTGAGGTGCCCAGCACCCTTTGTCACATCATTTCCAAACATGCTCCAAACAAGTGCTAACACAAAAGCATTGTGTGACAGTCCCACATGGATGTAGGCCAAGAGCAATTACGATTGATGAGGACATCTTGGGCAAAGATCAATAGGAAACTAACATGGGGGCAGGAGACAAGTTCTCTGTGGACGTGGGTAATAAAACCTGATACATGTAGCTTCCAAACACTGTGTGCAAGCAGCACAAACATGAAATAGTCAATGATAAATGAACCACTAGTAGTAACAACAATTTATACATTTAAAGGTAGCGTACAAGATTTGCATGTACTGCAATTTTTCTCAAAATTGGCTGATGGGGGGTTGTTACTTTGTGTATCATATTCCATGGACTAATTTCATTTTTGAGTTCATTGCCTTGAGAAAAAGCAAGAAAAGCGCTATTTATTTTTAACACTCCAAGTGCAGCTCATGTGACTTAAATGTTGCAAAAGTCCAAGGGTACAGGGTATTCCCTATTGGGGTGCCTGGATATTGCACGGGAGAGATTGCTATCTGCAGTATAGATCATTATGGCCCTCCAAAAGTGCTTTAATTCCCACAGCTTCAGCAAATTTACATTCAAGTTTTTGTCTCTTCCTTCAACAATTTTAATGCAACACTGAGAATTTGTCAAATTAACAACACTTCATCGATCACGCAGTCAAGTAATTGCAGTCATCACATTAACAGCGCGACCAGAGATACCCATCATGATCAAGTGCTCAGTCAGGGTTCATCACCTGTACATCGGTTAAAACCCTTCCAAACACTAATGCACATCATAAACATGAAGAGGGTAACTTCCTATACACTTGCATTTTAGGCAAGAAAGTTATTGAGATTAGAAAAATGGGAGCTTAAATGTCCTAAAATTGCAGATTTGTTTTTACAAAACAGGCTTTGTCATGGAGCCCGGAAAGGAGCACATATAGTAGACTTGACTCAAGTCGGGATCCTCTGTGATGCTTCCCTTTTTATGCTTTCTATTTTATCACTTGATAATGTGTTTAGATGTACAGAAGGAACATTAGAACCGAGGTCGCTTCTATTTTTATCTGTTAATATACTCCTGTAATATACTGTGTAGACTCCTCCAACATCTAAACGCATCACACACATCAATTGTTGCACCTGTCAAAGGTTGCGGTATTTAAACAAGTTGCATTTCCCGCAGTCGTCTATCCGGATGATTGTTGGAAAAAGTGTAAATTTTCTCTTTGCTCAAAAATGACATCATTCCGGGTGGGAAGATTTCACAGATTGTATGACACTGAATTCAAATATTCAATTCAATAAAATATTTAAAGATACTGTAATTTGACAGTCCCGTTTTGAAAGTTTTCAATGGTGTGCCTTTAAGCCTTTGGGAATTGATTCTCAGACTTTACTTCCCTTGAAGAAAAAACCCAAGCAATGGATGACCCAAAAAGGGAAAATTTTCATCTTTTTAAGTACCAAGAAGCCTTGAAACATTGAGTGCTTTTAGGAAAGGAAGCTCACTTTATGGAGACATGAATCCAACAAGATCAGGAAAGTTAAGCTGAAGAGAACCTTTTATAGGTATGTATAGCACATCACACCAAAGTCTCGATGCGCTTCACAATAAACAACAATTAAAACCAATTAATGGAACAGGTAAGTTTTAACCACTTCCTGCCGGGGCAGTTATCAATGTTGATGTTTTCAAAATTCTTTACAAATTCATATCTTCATTTACATGTACTGGACACTTACAAACACATGAAGGACTCTGGTGTATACCAGGCAAGATATGTCAAATCCCTATACACACTCTACACTATTGTTACCTAACACATCCCCCAAGAAGTCTGTAA